GATGGATGGATGGATAGATAGATAGATAGATAGATAGATAGATAGATGGATGGATGGATGGATGGATGGATGGATGGATGGATGGATAGATAGATAGATAGATAGATAGATAGATAGATAGATAGATAGATAGATAGATAGATGATGGATGAACAGATGGATAGATAATCTTTATTGTCATTTTTTACTGTGGGCATCAGAGCCTTCCAAAAGCTCTGAAGTTGACCCAGGCTCCCCCTCCCATCCTCCTCCTCGTCTGACTCTGCTGCTAGCTCTGCTGACAGCTGATGGACCACAACAGCACCAAGGAACCCACAATTCAACCCCAAGCTATAAATAATCTGTTCTAAATTCTTGCTTTCCTAGGAATTAGAAAATCATATCATCAGTGCAAGGACAACCGGGTAAAAGCTCTTTCTGAGTGATTTGGTTGACCCGGGCAGTTATCCATTTAATTAGGACAGCTTCTGTACTGAAATTTAACCTATTGGGATATTTCACAGCCTACCAAACTGAGAATAGCAGCAAAGAAGATGTTTTTCCTGCTCAGTATATACTCCTTCAGTTCACTTTTTCTTTCATTTGCTGGCAGCTTTACAACGAGGTGCCCTTGGTGAGACATCTCCCCCTGCCTCACCAGACAATACTAGTAACTGCAAAGGAAGTAGATGTTTTTATGAAAAAAGAGATGGAAGAACACAGGGCAACCTTGACTCCAGGAGATCCTCGAGATTTCACCGATGCGTATTTAGAAGAAATGCAGAAGGTAAATTTCCTCAATCTCTGATGGTTGAATTTCCACGCTTTCATCTTGGAATTGTTTTCCTGACATTACGGGTCCCGAGAATATAACAAAAACATTGATACAGGGACTTTTCTAGATGTTGAGCCTAGTCCTCTTTCTGCCTGGGGGACACGTTGTGAGAATGCAGCTGTGTCCCTATGCTTTGCATGTTGTGCAGCCCCGACCAACCAAGGTGACCTTAATTCTAGGAGAATCTTGGGGTTTCACCCATGCGTATTTAGAAGAAATGCAGAAGGTAGATTTGATCTTTCCGTCAGGTTGTAGCAGAAGCAGGACTGAGAAGACAGACCCCCTTGCCAGCTCTGGGGGACCCTCACCGTCTCCCTCAACTTTCCTATTATGATGGGTTGTCACTGGAAGAAGTTGCCTGTTCTTCCTTTCTCAACTTCATGCTTTAGTCATATTTCTCAGAATATTTTTAGATGGA